TCTTCATCTAAAGCTTGTAGATGCAGAATTGGTCGTACTGCTTCTAAAGTATTATATAACTATTCTATCAGTGCATATGAACAAATACTGAATTCAGTTTTTAAATTATTGGTTTACTAGTGTCACTGGTGCTACAATGCTACCCAATACTACGATAACTAAACATAAAGTGTAAATCAAATTTTTATCCATGAATTGTGGATTGCTAATACAATTATAGCTAAACTTTTGACTCCTAGATCCTTTTAGGTAACCGTAAATTTGTTTGAAGTGGTTGAAATTGTTGCTGATATGATGAATTCACTGAACTGTAAAAAACACTTCCAAATTTATCCTCTTCATAAATTTAAGAAAATAAAATTTTAAATGCCTAAATGAGAGTCCAAGTAACGCTTTCATTCATTTCAGCAACTTCCGCAAAAAAACAATATGTGCATTGTGACTTCATGGTCAACCGACTCAAACACTACCACATCCAGATAATTTAGTGCTTGCTGATATAAAATAGTTAGCTAACAAGGATTGTATGAAGAAAGATATCACCAAAACGGACACTGGATTATATTGGACAGGTACTACTACAAACACAGAGCTCTACAAGTATTTATATTAAAAACTAAAATGAAGGTGAGCTGCCTTACAATTGTCATTCAGGATTAGGAGGTTGGAAGATAGCCATATCAGATATAAAAAATCATGTACTTCAATTGAGCACTGTATGCATGACTCCATCTACAATGCGTTTGTTTTAGCCCATATATGGCATACAGAAACTATAGGTCACAAAGACTTGCACATTCAGTTGGCACATTGAAGCACATAAGGTCTCAGGTACCAAAGCAGCAACTGAAAGAGTACATATTTCATGAAATTAAGCAGCATGTTGACAAGGAAACATGGACACAGTCTTGTAACACACCTATTTTAGTTCTCAATCCCCAGTTAGGCATGCATTGCTTCACTCATGAACCAACAACCAATATCCAACTAAACCATTCAATTAGATAGTTACCTTAATGAAAAACAAGAACAATGGACTGTCTTGCTGTTTATGTTGACCAATTATTGTGTTCTTTTTTATTTGTCCATCTGTGAAATACTGAAATCAATGCACACTAAACATTGTTTCACCAATATACCTTTCTCAGTGTATTCAATCTATCCATTGCCAGCAGGAACATAAATGAGAGGTTGGCTTTTAATAAGGGAAATTTAGGTGAAGTATTAAAAGTTTTGATTAACTGATTGCATCAATAAATTTTATTGGATTGTGTGATTTGGTCAACATTTCCATCATTTGCAATGGAGCCACAGATTCACTATTTTTTGGCTTGAGAATGTCATGGAATAAAGCAAAATGGCTCACTAAACTATCTGCGTTTCTTTGTTATGAAACAGCAGTGAGTTCATGCAATTCTTGACGCGATTTTTTACCATGGGTCATCCGGAAACAGTTTTTCTGTGGGGTAAGGTTGCGTACATCCAACCCCCCTTACCCTGCGTTATCTACTCGGTGAGTACTCGGCGAGTACTCAGAATTCGGGTACTGACCTTGTCGAGTAGCTAGCTAACTCGGTCCGTGTTTTATTTCCGAGTTACTCGCCGAGTACTCGGTGAGTTTCTCAACTCGGTGAAGTTTTCCACTCGGCGAGTTACTCGATCTAACTCGACCCCCCTTATAAAATTGAAAAATTAAGTTACAAACCCATGTTAAACAGAGTTTCTGATATCTACTACCCCCCTAGAGACTAGAGACAGTGACTACAATTTCTCAATAAATTATCATCTTTTTTCTTGTATCTTCCCCTCTCTAGTTTCTTCTTCTTCCACCCTCCCATCCTTCTTCACCAGTTGTTCTTTTCATCATTCTTAAAATATCACCATCTTGATTGTTTAATATTGATACACACATATATTTTGATATAAATAAATTCTTTTTATTTATGTGGGGGATTGTTTATAAATTCTTTATGAACTATGGATTTGTGGGGGATTGTTGGAAATATGATAATATAAATATTATTTTTTGGGCCACATTATTGTGTCCTAAGATATAATTGTGTCAAATATGGAGATGAGGCTGATAATACATCAAAGAATAACTTACATATTTGGATTTAAAGTTAGAATCCATAGTTGTAAAGATTGTAAAGTGATGTATTAAAACAATGAATTTATTTGTTCTGTATTAGAGGATAAACAGTCTCATATGATTATTATTTATAATCATAATGTGATAAGGAACATTGTTCAAGTATCAAATAAGATAATGTGACGTTTTAATTTATCACTTATATGTACACCTAATCGGACGGATTATAAGTGACGGAATTAACGTCTAAGGTCTAGAGACTCTCTAATTAGTTGAAAATGTAATAGTTGATTGGATTATGAAATTGAATTCAAATTCAAATAATTATCCTTAATGCTATTGACAGAGATCCTTAATGTGGATCAGTTTATTTGCCTATCAGTTTCCAATATATAATTTGATTTCCGTTATGATGAAACAATCCAACTGCTCCTTTAAAGTTTTTTTTAATTATACATCATGTATATGAAGGGTCTGGTCTTCACCTTTATTATATGAGTTACGTTGAGCTATAGTGAATAGAAGAAAAAAAACCTCTTCTCACTCAAAAAAAAAACAAAAAAAAAACATAGATCTTGAGACCCAGAATCTGTTCTTCCACTCACGTAGGAGAGGACTTTTGTTTTCCTACTTGGATTCCTCCAACTGGTTTTTACGAAAGTTTGCATGCTCTCCTATTTTTTTTAAGAAGAGTTCTTAGATATTCTTTAGTGTTCAACTCTATAAGGCGTTTTGGGCAACGATCGGAGGTTTCAGTTAAGGTAGCTACGAGTCTGAAATGTGGTAGGATTATCTTGGGAGCGAGCTAGCCAGACCCGTCTGAATAGCTATCGGGATACAGGGGCTATCTTTCTTCAATGCCAGTCCGTTTTACGGGCGATCCTGCGATAAGTTTTCTTATCTTTTCTCTTTATTTATTTTAATTTATTCTAATTATTATTATTTTCTTTTGTCCTTGCATTTGGCGGTTTGTCTAGTGATTTGTTTAAACTCGGAATTTTTATCTGATTAAACTCGCATTCAATTTTCTAACAAGTCACATACGGAAGGCAATCCCAAAAATTCTGCTAACCTACCACTAAAATTTAAACCAGTCATGTTTAGTAAATTAAAAAAAAATGCAAGGATCACGGTTGGAATTTTCAGCCAACGAAGGTTGCAATAACAAATCCTGTTGGGCCGCGGGTATGCGGTGCCAGCAACAGCCAGCCTGCCGGTGCAATCGGACCGCGTGGCGCTTCGCTTGTGCTATAAAGGGGGAGGAGCGTGCTTCACTATCAGCGATTGCTTTTAGTGTAGCGGTAAGCGCAACGATCCACAAGTGGTATCAGAGCCAAGGTCACGGGTTCGACCCCCGGCAACAGCATGCTGCGCAGTTGTAGGCTGGCAGGTGCTGGGGGGGAGATTGTTGGGCCGCGGGTATGCGGTGCCAGCAACAGCCAGCCTGCCGGTGCAATCGGACTGCGTGGCGCTTCGCTTGTGCTATAAAGGGGGGAGGAGCGTGCTTCACTATCAGCGATTGCTTTTAGTGTAGCGGTAAGCGCAACGATCCACAAATCCCATTATTCTTAATTTTGGGAATTATTCACTTGTCCCTTTTGGGAATTATTCAAAATTTCACAAAAAGTAAAAGAACATTTATATACTTCGTGTCTTCGTATTTGATTTAGGAATTTATTTCACTTACTTAATAACATTTCATTTTTTAAACCTAAAATATTAAGGTTATGGAATGTGCATTATATATTGACAACGTGTGCATGGTTTATATTAGAACTTCTAACATATTAAGTTTGTAAGAAGTCAACACATACAGGTAGAAGTGCCTAAATATTAATGTTACAGGATGTGTATAGTAAGATTACTGGATGTGCATATTAAGGTACAAGATATTAGATATGTATTATATATTTATAATGTCTCAATAACTTGCCGTGCACATTCATTTTTAAAAATATGCACCAATATTATTAATATAAAGCAAGGTTATTATAGGGAAAACTGTCAAATAGGTCCTCGAACTTTCATAAAAAAGTCAATTAAGTCCTTCTATAGGAGACTATGTCCGGTCATCGCGATTTGGGGCGGTTCCCGGTGGAATTTTTTGATGAAATTTTTTGAGCATCTTATTCACCAAGTCTAGTTTACTCATTCCAAATTTCAGCTAAAAATTTAATCAGGAGCGCATTCAAATTAATTCGAGAACGCAAAAATGCGCAGTTATCTTCAAGAATTAATTTGAATGTGTTCCCGATTGAATTTTTAGCTGAAATTTGATATGAGTAAACTAGACTTGGTGAATAAGATGTTCAAAAAATTGTATCAAAAAATTCTACTGGGAACGGCCCCAAATCGTGGCGGCCGGACAAGACCTCCTATAGAAGGACTTAATTGACATTTTTATGAAAGTTCGAGGACCTATTTGACAATTTTCCCGTTATTATATACGTAGTACTACGTAACACTTAAATGTTCTCAATTCAATGGTGCGAACATTAATAAACCTTGTTGCTCTTAAACATTGATGTTTTGGGTAATTTTCATCGCGTTTTCATATTCCATTACATTAAGTAATAAGTATTATTTTGTGTTTAGGGGCCTCACCGTACCGATGGCAACTCTAAAATGGGAAGATGGAAAAGGGAGAGGGTCACAGCGCCGGCGACGCCTAGTACTAGTATAAAAGCTATGCCTTTTCTATTTTTTAAAAAAGGTATTATATTGTTATTAGTATGAGTATTAGATGCTAAATTCTAAGCTAAGGCTCAAGAATCAAGATGAAGCATGCTTAGGTGTTAGGTGTGACAGAAGTTTTGAATCAATATATTATGATTTATCCTTTAGAGATTGATTATTTATGACAAGTAGCGATCCTATCAGGTCGGTGTGGCAAAGTTGATCATGGGTCTTCCTGATAAAAATTTTTAATGATTTTTTTTCATATTCATCATCAAGTCTAGTTTATGTCCATCAAATTTCAGCTTAAAAAGGAATTAGAAAGACAGCTAAATAAATTATTTACAAACGTTGCACTTTGTGTGTGTGTGTGTGTGTGTCTAGAGAGAGTAGCGATCTTGTCTGGCAAGCCTGATAGGACTCGTCGTCCGGCTGACCAACATGGCTCATAATACCACAAATAAAGCAAAAGTGAGGCAATCTCTCGTACGGGATATCTACCCAGAGTGAATCGTTCCCCTTCTTTAACTTTAAACGACTCTGCAACGACTTACCAACATCAATTTGCACCCTAATTCTCATAAATTATTTCCAGCCTCCTTTGAAAGTATTATTGTCAGCCATAACAAAGTGCCCCACCCGATTGCCAATAGGTTTAGCCATTTTTCCTTGTGAAGTACCACATCGGAATATGATGAATCTATATCCAGAAGGCCTCATGAGTTAAAGGGACAGGATCCTCCGCCCCTTCCAGCTTATAAAGAACCAACAAACTATTTTCATATGACCAGGGTCCGTCCGCCAAAACTCTTTCGATGTCCACCACATGAAAAAACTGGAATAAAAATCTCTGATCCCCAATCTCTTGTATATTCACACCCCTCCCCAAACATCAACGATTGTATCATGAAAAAACTGGAATTTGATGTAATAATCATATAATAATAATAATAATACATCCAACCAAGCAATAGGAGGTTACTGCGGTCGATTCTTCCACATCAGTCACATCAACTTCCACTACTTTAGGATCATCGTCTTCCAGGTCCAACCGAGCGTATAAATCTTCCATGTCGTCTGCCATGCAATTCAAACCAAAAGATGAACGTAGAAAACTACAATACCAAACTCTTTCACAATCATTATCATTACATTTGATATTTTCCGATGAAAGAGATAAATAATGTTTAATGTCATTACTCATGTTGACCATCTCACAACTTCAATCTTGGGCTTGAACACATGTCCATGATCATTGTTTCATGTACTCACGCCTTTATGAAAATAGTACACAGTTAGACTATAGTAAGGTAAGGCCTAACACTAAGAATCATGAACCTCTTTCATTTTAGACCAAAGATGAATTCAATTATCCTAATCACTTTACTTATTCATATCAAGTACGAAGTATTAGTTTTAACCATTAGATCGTGTTAAAACTTAAATTAAAGAAAATCTATTTTTAATAATGAATTAATCTTAACCCAATAGTGTTGAAAGTGAAGAGGACAGAATGGGGTGTCTATTTTTTTTTTACAAATTTTAAATCTAAAGGCTAAAATCAATGGTTAATGCTGATGAGCATAAAAAATGGACCATTAAACTCATTAAATTGCTAAAAAAGAGGCTCAATTGACCCCCACGGTTGACTCCAAAGAGGTCCACATTATTACCAACTTCATTATTCAACCCGCCTTTAATTGAGTGTTCTGAGTACACAGGAAACTCTGCTCGTCTTTGGACCACTGAGAGAGAAGCCATTCGCCCATTTTCCCAATCTCTCAAGATGACTTGCCTAAGGAACCATTACTAAGCAAGAATGCATCTCAATCTAGTTGTATTGCCCAAATAGAAAGACCCAACTATGTAATTTGATAGAAACCCAAAAATTCCCATTTCTCAAGTGCATGATTTTCTGATCTCCTGTTAAAAATCAACCATCTAAAAGTGTGCTGTGCAGTTGTGCTCATTCAAGCTTGATGTCCATCTTCTTCATCTAAAGCTTGTAGATGCAGAATTGGTCGTACTGCTTCTAAAGTATTATATAACTATTCTATCAGTGCATATGAACAAATACTGAATTCAGTTTTTAAATTATTGGTTTACTAGTGTCACTGGTGCTACAATGCTACCCAATACTACGATAACTAAACATAAAGTGTAAATCAAATTTTTATCCATGAATTGTGGATTGCTAATACAATTATAGCTAAACTTTTGACTCCTAGATCCTTTTAGGTAACCGTAAATTTGTTTGAAGTGGTTGAAATTGTTGCTGATATGATGAATTCACTGAACTGTAAAAAACACTTCCAAATTTATCCTCTTCATAAATTTAAGAAAATAAAATTTTAAATGCCTAAATGAGAGTCCAAGTAACGCTTTCATTCATTTCAGCAACTTCCGCAAAAAAACAATATGTGCATTGTGACTTCATGGTCAACCGACTCAAACACTACCACATCCAGATAATTTAGTGCTTGCTGATATAAAATAGTTAGCTAACAAGGATTGTATGAAGAAAGATATCACCAAAACGGACACTGGATTATATTGGACAGGTACTACTACAAACACAGAGCTCTACAAGTATTTATATTAAAAACTAAAATGAAGGTGAGCTGCCTTACAATTGTCATTCAGGATTAGGAGGTTGGAAGATAGCCATATCAGATATAAAAAATCATGTACTTCAATTGAGCACTGTATGCATGACTCCATCTACAATGCGTTTGCTTTAGCCCATATATGGCATACAGAAACTATAGGTCACAAAGACTTGCACATTCAGTTGGCACATTGAAGCACATAAGGTCTCAGGTACCAAAGCAGCAACTGAAAGAGTACATATTTCATGAAATTAAGCAGCATGTTGACAAGGAAACATGGACACAGTCTTGTAACACACCTATTTTAGTTCTCAATCCCCAGTTAGGCATGCATTGCTTCACTCATGAACCAACAACCAATATCCAACTAAACCATTCAATTAGATAGTTACCTTAATGAAAAACAAGAACAATGGACTGTCTTGCTGTTTATGTTGACCAATTATTGTGTTCTTTTTTATTTGTCCATCTGTGAAATACTGAAATCAATGCACACTAAACATTGTTTCACCAATATACCTTTCTCAGTGTATTCAATCTATCCATTGCCAGCAGGAACATAAATGAGAGGTTGGCTTTTAATAAGGGAAATTTAGGTGAAGTATTAAAAGTTTTGATTAACTGATTGCATCAATAAATTTTATTGGATTGTGTGATTTGGTCAACATTTCCATCATTTGCAATGGAGCCACAGATTCACTATTTTTTGGCTTGAGAATGTCATGGAATAAAGCAAAATGGCTCACTAAACTATCTGCGTTTCTTTGTTATGAAACAGCAGTGAGTTCATGCAATTCTTGACGCGATTTTTTACCATGGGTCATCCGGAAACAGTTTTTCTGTGGGGTAAGGTTGCGTACATCCAACCCCCCTTACCCTGCGTTATCTACTCGGTGAGTACTCGGCGAGTACTCAGAATTCGGGTACTGACCTTGTCGAGTAGCTAGCTAACTCGGTCCGTGTTTTATTTCCGAGTTACTCGCCGAGTACTCGGTGAGTTTCTCAACTCGGTGAAGTTTTCCACTCGGCGAGTTACTCGATCTAACTCGACCCCCCTTATAAAATTGAAAAATTAAGTTACAAACCCATGTTAAACAGAGTTTCTGATATCTACTACCCCCCTAGAGACTAGAGACAGTGACTACAATTTCTCAATAAATTATCATCTTTTTTCTTGTATCTTCCCCTCTCTAGTTTCTTCTTCTTCCACCCTCCCATCCTTCTTCACCAGTTGTTCTTTTCATCATTCTTAAAATATCACCATCTTGATTGTTTAATATTGATACACACATATATTTTGATATAAATAAATTCTTTTCACTAGTACGACTATATATATTATATATTTATATTACGTAACTTTTAATTAATATCACTATATTGATTGTTTACTATGGCACATCATTGATTGATACACACTGTCACACATCATCTAATTGACAATCATGAGCTCTGCTCAGTCTGCCAAGGCTTTTAATGGGGCTGAATATGCTAATATTACACTTACGAGAAAATCATATGATATAGGATAGACATGGGTAGAGAACAATATCTTACAAAATTATTAGATGATTGATTTTGTTGAAAACTTTATGACTTTTGCTACTCCATCATTAGCATTTCTATCATTTTATTCATTTCTATGCATTTTAAGATAATTTTAAGACTATTATATTTCTATAATCTCGAGCACTTATGTCATTAAATTTAATCAATACAAGACCGAGTAATCCCGAGTAATCAGTCCTACTCGCTACTCGGTCCTTGACCGAGTTACTACCGAGTAGCGAGTTAACTACCTAACCCTTACCCCATCGTATGTGGGAGCCTTTGCGGCACTGGGGTAATGATGATGATGATGTGATTTGGTCAGCCTAGAATAATAAACATGAACAGGGACAGTAACTTATCACTCCATATTTTTTTAGGGAAAAATTGAAAATAATAATCCCAACTATTGCCGGTTCGCTAAAAATAATCCCAACTATTGATTATATTTGTATAATCCCAACTATATAGATCGTTCGTCAATAATGGTCCATGACTAGATATTACCTCCTATAACAAGTGAATTTTAATTTGAAATTAAGCGTAAAAATTAAATTTGGGATTGTTTATAGGGATTACTTGCTATATCTCTTCTCATCCACTTCAGAATTTATTTATAGCCGGTCACATCGGATCATTATTGGCGGAAGATACCTAAAGTTGGGATTATTCTGAAATAATCGATAGGTGGGATTATTATGAGCGGAACGTCAATAGTTAGGATTATTACTATCAATTTTTCCTTTTTTTATGTATAGTATTACTCCATATGGGAGTAAAAGTGTAGCATTTCAGAATCTTACCTTTCAATTCTCAGCATTTGAAATGCAGGTTAGTCATTTTAACCAATGATGCTTTCAATGCATAACAACTAGATTTGCTCCAAATCTTTCAGGAAGCTGGAATAGATTCACAACTTGAAATGACGGGGGAGACGGCCAGATTCACTTAGCAGTCTCAAAATCTCTCTGGCAAGATGTTGATTGCCAGTGAGCAAAAGTCCATTCAGAACGCGATTGAACGTGAACCTTCTTGGCAAAAACCCTCTACCAACCATTTCCACTATCAACCTGCCAGCCACGAGTAAATCATCTGATTTCTTTCTCCCAAACATAGAGCTGATCAAGACATTGTACGTATCCAGATTGGGTAAGCAGTAATCGACACAATTCATTTTGTCAAATACCACCAGAGCCTTCTCAATTTCTCCTTGGTCGCAATAATAGCGGACAATGACATTGTAGGTCTGAATATTCGGTTCACACTTATGGTCATCCCTCATTTTATCCAAATACTGAACAGCCTCATTCATTCTCCCCCTATGACACAACCCCCTAATTACTGAATTATAAGTCATTGTGTTTGGGACATAACCTTTCCTCAACATCTCCTCGAATACTGATATAGCATTTTCCATAGAATCCTTCTTGCACAACACTTGAATGAATGCATTGTAAGTTGAAATAGAAGGAAGTATACCATCAGTTCCAACCATCTCATTAAACATCTTGAGAGCTTTATCAATCTCTCCAACAACTCCTAACCCATGAACCAGAGTGGTATAAGTCACAACATCAATCTCACACTTCCTCTTCTTCATTTGCAAGAAAAATTCCCAAGCTTCTTTAATCTGACCAGCCCGAAAAAATCCTTTGAGCATTATGTTATATGTGGTTATGGTGGGAGTCAAGCCTCTCCATACCATTTCCTTGAGGATGTCTTGAGCTTTAGGGGTTTGTTTGATTAAACAAAATCCATGTGCAAGTATGTTATATGTGACAATATCAGCTCTAAATCTACTACCTCGAAGCATCTTCAAAAGCCTATAGGCCATCTCAGCCCGCCCGGATTTGCAAAGAACATCGAGAAAAGTATTGAAAGAATTCGAATCGTGGGGGCAACCATGATTATGCATAGACAAGAAAACCTTCAACGCTTTATCAGGTTTGCCGGCAGAAACGTACCTCTCGGTGATGATAGCAAAGGTCTTTGGCCGAGGACCGAGTCTGCGGGATCGCATCCGGGCTACGAGCTTCCAAAGGGTGCGGTAATCGCGCATCCGGGCGGCGATGTCTATGGCGTGGTCAAATGCAGCAGCGGGGTGAGCGTAAGAGGGATGGCAATCGAGGTGGTCGAAGAATTGGAGAGCCTTGGGTCCGTGGTTCCAGAGGCGCTTGAGGATGGATAGTACGAGGTCTGGGGTCCATTGCGTTGAAGACAGGGCCTTTGGGTCTTCTTGGAGGATGCGGTGGGAGAGAGTGAGGGCGTCCAATGTTTGGGTGGAAGGCGGTACCTGGAGTAGGAGCCAGGCAGTGGTGTGGAGGCGGCGGGACAATGATAAGCGCTGCGTGTGGACAGGTTTGGGGATTGTACTTTGAACTCCGATCAACATCTAGTGAGTAGCCAATTCATTCATTCATTCATAACTTCTGAACTTCCTAGTGATTTTCATAGAGAGAAACAAATCATGTGTCACTACGTAACTAGCAAGTGTGGAGGAAAACCTTTAAAGTTGATCCAAGGTGGAATCTCCCAACCCAGCACCCCCGATCCGACAAAATGGCAGCTCATACAACCGTGCGCACCAGAGGCCCAGACTGATTTCAGTTCTGTGACATTCACCCAGTCGCTGCGGGAATTCGAAACTTGGTCCATTTATCCAAATTTCTCACCACTCGATCAACTGAGCTAACCGTGCGGGTAAAAGAAAACCTTTAACGTAACTATATTTAAAGTGTATGTTAAAAAAACCAACCCGACCCGGAACCCGGTGATCCGGACAAAAAACCGGGTCGGTTAGTTCAAAACCCGAAAATGATAAAAAAAAACCTAAAGCCCCGGTTGATCCGAAAAAACCGGTCTGGGCCCGGGCCCAAAAAACATGGGAAAACTCGGTTTTGGGTGTTTTTTCCAAAAAAAAAAAGAAATTTCTTTTTTAATTTTAATGCATTTTTTAAAATAATAAAATTGCAATTTCAATATCGTAAAAAGAAAGACTATGTAGTATATTTATATATTTATTTAGGAATAAAAATCATGTCAAATTATATTATATATGTACAATACAAATAAAAATATCATTATACATTTTAATAGGACCAAATTAGACTTTGGAATATTATGAGAGTGTATTAAATGATTAATAAGTATTATCCTTAGTTGATTATTATAAATAATAACTACTTTTTATTATAATTTTGTATATAATTATATGTTTATTATTATATGGACATGTAATCGTTGACCGGGTTGACCCACCGGATCCGGGTTTACCCGTGACCCAGTCATGTGGCCGGGTCGCTTCTCGGTCTGGTTTGAAACAAATATACACATGTTCTATTTTTTAGAACAAATATACTTGTGAAGTATATGTTGAAGTGTATATATACCTCTGAACTTTTCAAAAGTGCAAAAATACCCCTCATGTTCTTGTCAAGGAGCAAATTTACTCTTATTAACTTTAAATTGATAAAATAAATTTCAAAAAAAAACAAAAAAAATTATAAATTCGAAATTAAAAAAATGTACTTGTGTCCAAATCTCCATTTTATTGTTTGTATATTACAATATAATATTGTTAGTACAAAATATTATTTCAAAACTTTATTATATATTTAAGATTGTTTTTAAAAAGTGTTAACATGCATATGTGTTGCGATGTAAAACAATATTAATTTTTTTCATTCCTTGCACTATAAAATTACATATTTTGTATGATGGTAAATAGTTCAAGATTACAAAAGAATTTAATTTTATTAATGTTAAACAAAATCAAAGAATGTTATTTCAAAAAATGTAACATCGTGTTCAAAATTTCGCAACAAGAATAAAATTAATATTTATGAATTTCAAGTGCTTCATTTACAACGCAAAAATAAATATTTTGCTATTACTAATTATTAATTAAAGTTAGAGTTAATATTTTAACATAATAATATATATTTTTTGAAAATTTTGAATTTATAATTTACTTTTGGTGCTTTTCGAAATTTATTTTATCTATTTAAAATCAATCAGGGTAAATTTGCTCCATTATAAGAACATGAGGGGTAATTTTTTCACTTTTTAAAAGTTCAGGGGTATATATGCACTTCAACATATACTTCAAATGTATATTTGTTCTGAAAAATAGAATAGGGATATATATATATATATATATATATATATATATATATATATATATATATATATATATATATATATATATATATATATATATATATATATATATATATATATATATAATTTGTTCTCACACTCATACTACAACGTTATTTTTGTACCTTTTCCCAAATATTTTTGGAAGTAATATGGCATTGATTATTATTATTATGTTTGGAAGTAATCTGTTTGGAAGTTCATTAAAATTTGTGAATTTCTGGGATGGAAGTAATATGTTTATTATTTGAAAAATCTATACTTATGCTTTAAATTTTTTATTGCACCAATAATTATATCAAACTTACCTTTTTTATGATACTCTTTTGTTTATTATTATTATTATTATTATCATCATCATCATCATCATCATCATCATCTATCAACATCATTATAAATATTGTTATTATTATTGTTATTATAATTGTTAATATTATTGTTATTATTATTGTTATTATTATTGTTATTATTGTTATTATTATTGTTATTATTATTGATGTTGTTTTTGTTATTATTATTGTTGTTATTATTATTATTATGATTATTAGAATTACTATTATTATTATTATCATTATTGCCAGTGAATCAAATAACCATAAAAAATAAAAAATAATGAGAATCTTAGAAAAATCATCATGTTGAAATAATACCTTAGTAAACATACTTGCATTTCGTTATTAATCTGGACTTTCAATTTAGTACATGCAAAACAAACAAATTTCAAAAATACAAGAGTTTCAGATGATTTTAAAGGGAGTCCATACTTGGTCGTAGACCTAGATATTCACATTCTATGAGAAAAGAATAAACTAATATAGATATAATTTTAGCCTTTTTAATTCTACATGCCTACCTCATATGAAAGTGAAAATTTACATTTAAATGCAAAATGTTCTACTATGAAATAAAGTTGTTATGAAGAATCATTACACAAGCTCTATTTAAAAAAGTGGGACAATATTGAAAACATGTCAATACTGGAGCAAGATTCACTAGGAAATTTACATATAACTGCATTCTAGGAAATAAAATAATTAGCTAATTGATCAAGATTCACTAGAACATTTGGTGGATCCCTAGTGGAGCTCTATCAAGCCTAGGCATCCTAGAAGAAGTACTTTATTCGTGGAGCAGCGAACACGAAAAATTTAGACAAATATGTTTTTAGTTTTCTAGAAGTTTTGTTCTCTCATTTGAATTTCTTCATTCACTAGTGTTTGTTGTTTCCTCCATAAGTTGATTAAAAAACATCGTAGGAAATAAAATTATTACCGGTTGAAGTAATAAAATGAAAAGAGACTCTGGCGGTGATAGTTGATCATGCTACACTTAAGATTCTGAATAATGAAACCAAAAGTGTGAGAGAGGCCTCTTTGAGAGTGGCCAATATTAAGGGTGAAGTGGTTTTGAGGAGGAGGGGTCCAACTAATGGCTCGGGATCTCAGATAGGAGTTTTTTTGGAACATTTGGTGACATAGAGGGAGCAGAGGTCTTTACGAGTATTGTAAATGGCTCAGAGTAATTAGGAGCAATATCATCATATAAAGTGGTGTTTCTCAATTTCCAAAGATTTCAAAGGATCGTGATTGTTGAGTTTAAGTCCCGAATGACCCGAAAGCCCAACATCAACCTTGGATCTAGGGTATAATTGCTACAATAGAGTGTATAAAAGAAATATAAAGACTGATTGACTCACTCAAATAGCTTCGCTTGTATTAGCGCAGTAATTACGATTACAAAGAAATGGCCGAACGGCAGTTTCAGTCCAAAAACTAATACAACAGCATTTACAATGAAATAAATGTTGATATTTATACTAGATGGGGATAGATGGGGGTATGAGGTGCTCTAATATGATTGATTGCTTTTCATGCCACTTGATGCATCCATGCTCCCACTAGCGACCTCCACACTCTAGCATTAAATGCAGCCTGCCACCTGAGCGAATCCCCGATCAGCATTAAGGGATGTTGGGCCAGTAATCCGGAGGAAAACTGGTTACCCAAGTGTTTAATGATGCCCCGTTCGGGATGTGCCGAACGAGGTATCTCCTTTAGTTACCCAACTTCCATTCGGGGCCCGATGATTCTCCTTGGACTTCCCTCTGCTTTTGGGCCTTAGGGATATCTTGAGCCGGTATATTGGGTTGGACCCTAATATCCTATCAGTAACATATTAGTAAAAATAACAATAATATAACTGATGACATTTAACCACATAGTAATATAGTTTAACTAATGAAAACATAAGTTATAAAGTATTTTATACGTGAATGAATACATTAAACTCATTTTTACAAATTAAATTATGTTCCATCACGTCAATTTCATAATTATAAAAGTAACTACACAAATATGATACATGTTGGTTCCATATATTTTTACTATACAACATTCAAGATGATTGTAATTATGAGATATATTGTAAGTAGTGCTCCTTGATAAGCACGATAATTATCTATATTTTATATAGGTAATGTTGATTATCTGTACGAATATGCAAAGCTGAAACAGGTAAAAAATCCCAATTTGAGCAAAAACCGCACAGAGGTGTCAAAAGATGAAGAAACAGGCGTCAACAGTCAAAAAGGGTCGAGAACAGGCATTTCGGGATCAACTACGGGCGTAAAACGGAGCGAAACAAGGAATATTACACAACAAGGTATAACTGGCGCCGGTCTACCCTCAGAACCGACGCCGGTTGCATCTAATTGCCAATATTCTGGAATCGCCGAAAGAAAACCGGCGTCGGTCCACCCCTATAACCGGTGCCGGTTATGTCAATTTATGTATTTTCCCCAGCGCCGAAAGAAAACCGGCGCCGTTCAGGCCTAAAACCAGCGCCGATTAGGTCCGATTCTGCACAAAACAGGGAGACGTGCAACAATATTTTGATGGGAAACTCTCACCTTCCTCATGATCTGATCAAATATATCTTCCATACCTAATTGTTGGGCTCGAATAGGCTAAAAGATGTCAATCTTTAGGCTATATAAAGCCCTCAATTCATCAAACAAGAGCATCATTCCATATGTGGAGCTTAAATTTGAGTTTTTATATTTTATTTTTGTATTATCTTGAAGAGTTGGAGAAGAAGCCATTTCTCTACTCTACAATTGGTTCTAGGTAATTTTTCTTGTATGTTATTGTATTTCCTTAGTCTTAGTTACACTTTTGTAATTAATATGAGCATTAGTAGCTAAATTCTTAGCTAAGGTTAGGGATGAACTTCTATGCCCACCAGGTGTTTGATAAAAGTTCTAAACCAATAAATTGTGATTTATCCTTTATATATTGATCTTTTATGACTATGGTGTACAACATAAAAGTATGTTAAATTTAATTTATACTTGCA